AATCTATCAGTTAATTATCTTCAGGCTCCTTCGACGTCTCAGTAACAGCGCATTTGCTCTCACAAGCTAAATAGGTTGCGAACATCTTTAAGAGTGGAACACATTTAGAATAGTTCAGATTTTCTATGAATCAGAGTATTTGCTTCATCAAGCTTTTGTAACCAAATTGTCACCGTGCTTCTTGCTCTTTTTCGTACTACCCAGCAGCACATGTGAACCGTGGCAACAGGGAACATGCAGCACCAAACCTTCTCCACTGTAGTTTCTGAGTCGTTGATGGAAGAGGTTTGAAAGCTCACGCTGAACAGGCTGTGCAGCTGTTAAACACAATATGTGAAGCTGCCAACGTGATTCATCTCACACACATGCAGACAGAAAGATCCAAAGTTTGACAGAACCAAGACAGACTTTAGCAAAGGCCGTTTCACTTCAGTTAGACGTCTAATGTTCTGTGTTGCGCGAAGCTGTTTAGCTTCTGGCTATCATAAGTATGACTAATTGACTATGAATTCTGGGTAATTAAGGCTTTTTTTTTTCTTTTTCTTTTTTTTTTGTAAACTAAAAAATGTGTTTGAGTGCATCGAACCTGTGCGCACATTTCATTCCAGGAGAAAACGTTCGCCTCGACTTTAACAGTTACAATCCTAGGTGAAGGTTTTGTTTGAGCAACAGTCTGGATGTCCCGCTCCTGGAAATTGTACAAAACACCTAATTTCCTGCATTCTTTTGATTTTTAGCAGCAATTTGTGTCTTTCTTGCATTCATTTATGGTGGAAATGTCTTTGTTCATGAAAAGGAAAACACAAAATTCTGATGCCAGGTGACATTTCAGAGGATAGAGGGCTAGTCTGAAACGTCTTTATGGGCTTTTCTACCATTGGTGATGCAAAACTGGTTTCTTTCTGTTTCGTGAATCTAAGTTTGAATTATTCAAATTAGATTTAGAGAGGATTGCACATTAAAACAATAGAAAATAAAAGATAAATAAGACATAATACAATCGATGAAAACTATAAGAATAGCCAAATAAGCTGGTCACAGTTAAGAGCAAATAAAATATAACAGAATGAGAAAAGAAGAAATATAAATACATATATTTACGATCGGATAAAATAGACCTTAATTATTCCTGAAGGAAACTTTTGTGTCGGATATTATTTAGAAAACAAAGTTGTATTGGATAAGACAAAATGCAGCGTCTACTAGAAAAGCAGTCAGATATAATACACACATCATACACATAGTAATGAAACACTACACATGATACTGAAACAGATTTTGCACAAACTGTTGAATAAAGTATTTGTGCAAAATTACATTGAAATTACCGGTTAGATTTAGGTTCCCAATGTTTCAGCCGCCATTGTTGCAGAAATGATGAATAATAGTTGAAATAAAATGATAAAACATCACATACAAGCCAAACTGACCACATTTTTTTATTTTCTAGTTTAAAATATTAATATTTTCAGCTGCTCTCATATCGAGTGTAGAGACTGAAAGCAGCATCAGCGAATGTTCTGCTGTGAGATGCAGCGAAAATAAATGAATCAAATGTGTGCGGCCTGTTTCNTAATAATATGATTTTAATGAAATGTCATATTTTAAGCTCAGATTTGTTTTCCAACATAATAACACATCACAGATTAAGTACTTTGATGAAGTACTTTTACAGTTTCTTGCTCTGAAATCAGATAAAAACACATCTTATCTCCGTGTTGGTCCACACCAAAACCCGTCTGGAACGTCTTCATTTGTTTCCTGGCTTGTTAATAACAGCACTTCTGTTCTTCGTAGGTTCATGGAACTCTACGTTCCCATGAGGCAGTTCTTCTACAACTTGATCCATCCAGAGTACAGCGCCGTCACAGACGTCTATGTGCTGATGTTCCTCTCTGACACAGTCGACTTCATCATCATTGTGTTTGGCTTCTGGGCGTTTGGTGTACGTTTTTAATCTGCATGTTCAAGAAAGTCACAGTTTTCCCCTGAACTTCACAGCTTGTCAAATGAACTGTTATACGTACGTTTTTCAGAAACACTCGGCGGCAGACATCACGTCGTCTCTGTCGGAGGATCAGGTGCCGGGACCTTTCCTGGTCATGGTCCTGATCCAGTTTGGCACCATGGTGGTGGACCGGGCGCTCTACCTCAGAAAGTCGGTTATGGGCAAAGTCATCTTCCAGGTCATCCTAGTCTTTGGCATCCACTTCTGGATGTTCTTCATCCTGCCTAGCGTCACAGCAAAGTAAGAGCTTTATCTGATTCAGTTTGGTTTGAGGCATCCTGATGGCTCCTTGATGCTCTGCACCCACTGCTCCTGCAACGCTTGTAACACTCCCTGAAAGTCAGATTATTTACACATGTCAAGCACCATCTGGTATCAGTGTTGATTACTATAAAAAGCAGCAATCCTTTGACTTGAGCTTAATTCTGGGCAAGAGGAAGAAGCAACCGAGAGACAAATCTGGCCAGTAGGGTGGGTGAAGTGTGACAATGTTGGTGTTGTGGTCAAAAAAAACAGCATAAGCATCATGCTGTGACCAGACACACACCCACATGCCATCATGACACAGTTATTCTGACTTATTCACGTGCACCATGGACAGTATAAGAACTATAAATCCTTGTATTCATCTCTTTCTCTTCTATTACTGCTCAAAGAGTGGAAAACCTGCCTAACTGAATGCTCTCTGTATTAAAAAGTCTCTGAATGAATGTACAAATCACTTCCACTTAGTAACACCAATTTGCCTTTTAAATAATTTCATTTCCAAACCATTTCTGAATACGTGTTTGCGTTCACATTTAAAACACCTTGAATCTGTCTTTTCTTTTTGTCCTCTCGTAGGCGTTTTGCAGAGAACACAGTGGCTCAGATGTGGTATTTTGTCAAGTGCATCTACTTCGGCTTGTCGGCCTATCAGATCCGCTGCGGCTATCCCACCCGTGTCCTGGGGAACTTCCTCACAAAGAGCTACAATTATGTCAACCTCTTCCTGTTCCAGGGGTGAGTTACGCTGGGAAAGTTTCATTTCTTCCAGCTGGACAAACAGGTCCAAGGTTCTGGCCGTGGCGGTTGTCAGCTTGCTGCTGCAAAGTGGAACAAAGCAGAGAAGATTCACCTGGAGGCCTTCAAAAACTGTAAACAAGATATATGTTAAAGGGGATTTTACCCTGTGTAGTGTTAATCTTTGGCTTATCTTAATTTTACTGTAGACTTTACTGTAGAAACTGTCACTGTTTTCAGACCTTAAATTCATTTTTTTCGTTGAGTAAATGAAAATAATCATAAATTACAGCTCATATCTCTGCTCTGTAAGCTTAAGAATTACTTAAAGGACTGAGATTTACTATATATAGGAGGTCATCTTCTTTATTCAGACCTCAGTGCTGTCAATGAAAATCTTTCTCCACAATAGTTTTTATTATGATTGAAGTGAGAAAATTCTCTAAAATATGGACACCTTGAAAATCCTAAAGCAGTCACTGAGATGTTTTTTTTGTTTGTTTATTTTTTATATCATCTGGTAATATTATCTAATGAGCCTGCATCATACATCATTTCAGCTGCATGAATAACAACAACAGACCTCTGCAATGAGTGTGTGTTTTCTGCCATTTAAAAAAAATAAATAAATAAAATCTCCAGACCAAGCAGGAAAAGTTCAGAAAAAGATGGAGGTCGAGATGTGAAATAACTTTCACCATCATACTGGAGTAGTTTTCTCATACATTTTGTTTTTAAATTGCAAATATGTTTGGACTTAATTGAATGAAATTTTACATGGATTTTTTTACTTATGAAAAAAAAGTGCTTACACACCCACTAAATGTTATATTTTCATTTTAGACAAATAAAATCAATTTGATTTTGTTTATTTATATAATGCCAAGTCATAACAGAAGTCAACTTAGGTCACATAATAAGATTAAGACATTACAATATTTTAGAGAGAAACCCAAGAACTGCGCTTGAGCAACTTCCCAACAGCTAGACAAGAAAAAATTAAACAAAACCTCCGGCAAGACCAGCCTCGTGGACGGTTTGACATCTGCATCGACTGGCTGGAGTGAGATAAACGGTGAAAAACAGACAAATAAGAATACAATAAACTCTGGGAAACCAGCACACACAGATCGACAAGGTTCAGAGCCAGACTTACCTGCGAAGAGGGAAAACTGTGAAACAGAGAAAACACAAAGTTCATGACATGCAGTCGTGGCAGATCAGTGCATGGAGAGGGAAAGAGGACAAAGTAAAGCAGAGCAGCAATCCAGGCCTACAGCAGCATAACTGAGGGATCGTTTAGATCCACCAGAGCAGCCCAGTTTTACTAAAAAGGAAAGTTTTAAGCCTATCTTAAAAGAGAGAGGACCAGCACTTTTATGTTTAACAAAGGTGTCGGCTAAAGCCTTCAGCTAACTGCTCTCTCAAACTAATCTCATGAGCTGGCTTTTCTGAGTAAAGATAATGAATCTTTATGAGTCCCACGTTGTCCCAGATGAACTTAAACACGTCTCTGCTCCTCAGTTTCCGCCTGGTACCGTTCCTGACGGAGCTGCGGGCCGTGATGGACTGGGTTTGGACTGACACCTCGCTGTCTCTGTCCAGCTGGATCTGTGTGGAGGACATCTACGCTCACATCTTCATTCTCAAATGCTGGAGAGAGTCTGAGAAGGTGTTTATCATGTGAAGACAAAAAAAAAAAAAAAAAACTCACTTCCATCGCCAGTGGCTGTCATGTTGGAATTCAACCTGAAATTTACTTTTGTTATTTGCCAAAGTCGGTCTTTAAAAAAAAAAAAAAAGAAAAACCTTCATGCTTTCATTGCTTCATGAATCTTTTGAAGGTTCAATTCTGATCTGAGTGATTTTCACGCTCTTGCTTTCTGAAATGTATTGCATATTAAATAAAGATGTTTGCCTGCTGCTGTGCCCAATATTCCCAAAAGTGCACTAAAAATATCTTGATTTTGTGCTTCACTCGTGTAAATCATGCTCTCTTGTAATCCTTTCCCAGTCTGTCTGCAGGTACCATCCATTTGACATGTTTATGTTCCATTTTTTTACTTCTATAGCTCCTATTTTCAAATGGATGCACCAGAATAGTCCACACACAGAATACCAAAGTTTCAGGAGATCTGCCTTGTCCCAGTCACATTCTACATCCTCTCATTCAATGTCGTGCTCCTGCAGAGGTATCCCCAGCCGCGAGGCCAGAAGAAGAAGAAGGTGGTGAAGTACGGGATGGGAGGAATGATTGTGGTGCTGCTGATCTGCATCGTCTGGTTCCCGCTGCTCTTCATGTCCCTCGTAAAGTCCGTCGCCGGAGTCGTCAACGCTCCGCTGGACGTCTCGCTGAAAATCACCCTGGCAGGCTTTCAGGTGTGGAGGCTGCTTCTTGTATCAGATTGTTTGCAGTAACTTCAGATCGCCTGATGTTTTACTGAGAAAAAGAAATACCAAACAAAAACCGCTAAGTCACCGTTTTTTATATTTATAGAGCACATTTTAAAAACCAGAAGGTGAGCCAGTCGGGTCGCTCCATCTCAGATTATTGTCAGAACAATTTGCACTCTGTGTCTGATTCTTTTTTTTTGTCATGAACTCTGGTTGTGTTTAAGGTTATTAGTATACATTCTGTGATTTTTTTACAAAATGGACCCACTTCCTGCGTGTGTTCTTTTTTTCACATTGAAATTTGAGGCTCTGCTTGAACGACAAAATTTCAGGAACTGTTAAAGATGTAAGCCTGACATTTTGGCAGTTATTTCTCTGGTCTGCTTGTTCGATATTACAGATTCTGCATCAGTGACATGATGTGAAATAACAGTTAAAATGTCGAGCTTTTATCTTCAACAGTTCCCACAGATATTGTCATTCAAACATAACCTCAAACTTCAGTTGTCAGAAAAATGTGCAGGAAGTGTGTTTGGTGGGCAGTGTGTTCTTTTTTTTTTAAATCTCAGAAAGTAGTTGATACACCAAAAAAAATAAAAAGTCACATTTTAAATATCTATAGTTTATTTATTTTATTTTTTTTTTTAATTCAAGCAAATCAGAGTTAGTGGAGCACAAGGACCCTGATGATTTAAGATAGAATGACCCAATAAAGAAATAAGATTAATTTCACTAATTTAAATGTCATTTAAAATTAAATTCAATATTAGGGCTGAGAACCTACAGTGTTATTTATTGTACAAGTTTTACTTGACTAGTTTAAATATTGCGGTTATGACGGTACAGTATTGTGGACTAGATGAGGTAAACTTTATTGGTTCCACACCAGGTTCATTTCCTCACAGCAGCTTGACATAAATGAAGAATTGTAAGAAACAAGAAAAGAAATAAAGCTTCCACATGTACAGATATGACATGATGGATAATGCACCCAAATGGTGGCGCACACAGTTTGCAGAGTCATATTTAAATGTACACAGTAACAAGCAACAGGGCCACATTTCTGTTATGTAAAAGGTTAAAGAGGGAAGAGATCAGAGTTCCATTATGTTGTCGTACCTGAAGAGCGATAAGAGACAAACTGTGCCGCATGATGCTGTCGTACTCACCTAAAAGTTAAGGTTAAGATTACGCAATATTTTATAATATGTAGTACAAATTTACCACATTCTGCCAAAATACAAGCAAATACAATTCTATATAAACGAGTTCCTAATTCACAAACGTCTGTCTTAACCATCTTGGTTTTATTTTTTTGCTTATTTTAAAGAAGTTTCTCTTTTCACAGCCCGTCTTCACCATGAGCGCTCAGCAGCAACAACTGAAGAACGTGTCAGCGGAAGAGTTTAACAAGTTTAAGACCTTATTCGTAAAGGATGATGTAAGTACAAGTGTGCAGTTCCTTTTGTCTGTGTTGGAGCTTCCATGTAACGCAGGTTGTTCTTTCTCTAAATGCTGGATTCCCAGTTTTAGTCCAGGCTGTAAACACACACCACGGATGATCATTTTCTACTTTTCATATTCCTATAGGATACAATTTGTGCAGGTATTTTAAGTTTATTGTTAAACTAAAGGGGAAATCTGTCGCATCTGGAGTTAAGGGGAAAATCAAAGGATCACTAAAGTTATTACAATTCATAGAGATATTTCACTAAAAATGTCATCCTTATTGTGGTGCCAGAGCAAAGGTCATGTGATCTCCTCATCCTCTGAGGACCATGAATGTCACTTTTTTTTTTTTGCAGTAATCCAATAATGGTTGAGATTTTTTGATCAAAGTGGAGCACAGACTGATGTCACTGTCTGATGCCACCACGCAGCAAATTCTACACATGTTCACTTTAATTTAGATGCATTTCAATAAAAGATGAATGCAAGTTAGTTCAGTGAGACTTATGGCTCCAACTGTTTGATTTTGTGCTGTGGTCAGGAAGCCTTGCAGTGGCTGGAGAGCTACTTTACACAGGATCTGATCATCGCTAAGCTGAAAGGCAGCTCCAACTCTCTGTGGACCATCAGTCCGCCCAGCAGAAACAGTATGATAGAAATGCTGGAGTCGGCGGACGACTTTCCCATCACTGTGTCCTGGTCTGTGCAAAGGTAAGCTCACCTGCTGTCTTATATTCATCAGTAACAGGCCAGTTCTCACATTTTTAATCCTTCACATTAGAGTCCTGCACCTCTGTGGAAGCAGCACAGCCATGGCCAAAGGAAAGCAGATGTTCTCAAACAGGTTTTAATTGTAATTGGTTGAGCAGTTTACTGTAATTTTACAAGCGTTCCAAAATACAGACGATAACCAGAAAGGTCACAGAAAAGAGTATTAATTTACAAGATAGAGGTGAAAGAAAGAAAGAAAGAAAGAAAGAAAGAAAGAAAGAAAGAAAGAAAAGTGGCCAAAACTTTACACAATGTCTGCATCAAAAGTCAGTATATTTACAAATGATAGTTTGTTCTTTAAGACATTGACTGTAAAAATGTACTGTAAAAAAATGTTATTTTACAGATACTTGACATTATTTTAAAGAAAATATATATATATATAT